AGTCCACCCAGTGACCTAGTGATCCACTTCTAAAGAAATCAGAAAGACCTGGTGACGTGCTTCCAAAACATCACTGAAAACTGCAGAGCACAGTTCTAAGCAGGACTCATAGGGTTGCTGTGCGTGGGGATTGACTCCATGGCAACTGGTTACAGGAATCAGAACGTGACAGGAGGGCTGAGTCATAGAAAGTGCGCAATAGTTGGTCACCTGGGGGGTCAGCCTGGACATTTAGAGACATTAAAAAAATTTAGAGAATTACAGGTTCCTGCTAGTTTTTTTTTTTCCCCCATCCCCTTCCTTTTCTTCATTTAACCCCTTCTGCTTTCTCCCTCTTCTCTCTCCTTCTGAACCCTGTGGCTCATGTTCACTTCTGAAATCGTGTACAGCAGTATCTCTAGCCATCCTTGAAGTAACGCCAATAGTTGCTGTAGCTGATAACCTATCTTCTGCTGACAAAGAACAAACATCAGGGATGGAGTGCTGCATTTTTGTTGGTGGTGCAGTCAAGTCCACGCCAATTCTGACCCCCCTGTGACCAAGCACAGCTGCCCCGTAGAGTTTTCTTGGCTGTAATCTTTAGGGCTGTTGAGAAGTCAGTGGAATGTTGCTCTTGTGTAGAGTGAAAGGGAGAGCAGAGGAGCTTGATAAACTCTCTCCAGGGTTGTATTTCACCAGCAACACGAGGACTGAGAAGAGCAGACAGGTTATCTTTCCAGTTCTCTAAGCCACTTTAGAGGGTCTTTGTACACAGATTGATCATACAAATGCACTGCCCCATTCACAGCTTTTGATTAGTTCGGAGCCATAGTCATAGGGAGGTTAAGCTGAGGCAGTTTGCATTTTTAATGCCCCAAGGGCAACAGGCTTTAGAAAAGCAAAAGGGGTGGGGTCCCCATACCACAACCAGCTATTAAATCATCTCCACTTGTCCAACAGTCATTTCTTGTGAGATGAAATGCATCACACCCTCTTCCCTGGATCATTTTATAATTAGTCTTCTTCTAACTCACCATGTAGTCCTCTTTTTATCTCTTCTCTTAGTTGATTTACTAGGGCGTGTTTTTCTTATCAAGCTGGTTTTATCAAAAATATTAAGTTGCTGAAGGAACTTTTTTTTGCATAATAGGGAAAGATTAATCCTAATGTTTAATTGGATCAGAAATAAGTGAAATTATAGAATTTTAGATCTAAAGTGGCAGACAACTATTAACTCCTCACCTCACACATAAGAAAACTGACATCAGTAAGAGAAAACGTAGCTACCAACTGCTTTTTAGCAGAAATTGAGTATCTAGGAGTGAAGTCTCCTAATTGCTGAACTCGTGTGCTCTCTACATGTTACATCATCTGTGTAACTTATGGTGAAAGCTGTCCTTCCAAATAATTTTGCTATCCTGTGGGAGCTCTGGTGGTGTAGTGCTTAAGGCATTTGACTGCTAACCAGAAAGCTGGCGGTTCAAACTTACCAGCCACTCCTCGGAAGGAAGGTTGGGCAATCTACTTCCGTAGAGATACCGCCTTGGAAACCCAAGGAGGAGTTGCTGTGAATCTAATCAACTCCATGGCAGTGAGTTTTGTATAGGTCAACCAAATCACAATCTCTGTTGGCTTTAGACAAAAGGTTTTAGATTACTGAGTCAAACAATGTTGGACAGTCTTACCTGTTCCCATGCCAGTCTGGGTGCTCTTGTGGCTGGGTGTTGAGGAATAGCACTGTGGCAGGTAGAGGGAGGCTGGGACTGGAGCCAAAGAGAGATGGTGGTTTGGGAGGAGAGGAAGGGAGGGAGATGCATAACTTGCCTCAGGAGTGGTCCACCTCTGAATTAGACCACAGGGGAGTTTGGGTGGCTCAGTGGTTAAAGCATTCAACTGCTAACCAAAGGTTGGCGGTTCAGAGCTACCAGCTGCTCCACCAGAAAAAGATGAGGCAGTCTGCTTCCATAAAGATTGACAGCCTTGGAAACCCTACAGGGTGGTTCTCTCTGTCCTATAGGGTCACTATGAGCCAGAGTCAACTCACTGGCAGTGGGGTTGGTTTCTGTTTTAGAATTCACTTGTGGTTTCGGGGAGAGTACAGTTTTACTACATCTTGAGGTACTCCCCTTGATCTAATGCCATGAAGTCAAATAGATCTGAATTCAAACTGTGGTCCTACTATGTACTAGTTTACGTGACCTTGGACAGATTATTCAAACTCTCAGAAATGATTTGTTAATCGCTGATAAAATGAAGACAATGCATACTTTCCTTGCAGGATAGTGAAGATCAGAGAAAACTTCTATCAGCTTCCTAGCCCGACACTGAAATGTGGAGGCTACCAGGGCTTGTGCTGCTGCTGCTGTGGGTTATGGGAGACACACAAGCAAAAATTCTCTCTGCGTGAAAATCAGAAGGGTTGGCAGTTTAGAGGTTCATTCAGTAACTATTAGTAAAGAATCCAGAAGTTGCATAATAGCATATTAGGTATTTGAAGAGAGAAAAAAGAAGTTGTGAAGGAAATAGAATCATGGTGCTACAGGGCACAGGGGTCGTGTCTTCCTCTGACCTCCTTACCTCACAAAGGGGAGATACAGTCACCATCAGCAGCCCAAGACTTATTCCTATGGGGCCAGACATGCTGCCACCCTCCAACCTTTTTACCAGTTGTGACACCAACCGTCCCTCCCACAGCACTCACTGTTTCTCTGCTGGGTTTGATAATTCATTGCATTGGCCACATAGAACTCACAGACAATACTCACGATCATGGGGTTTATTAGGGAAGTAACAGGCTACAGTTCAGGTTCAGGAATGCTTTCAGGATGCAATTCTTCCATCAGGACAGCCTCCCCTCAGCCATGCCCTCAACATGCCTCCTGTTGGTCCTTGGCCTCTTGACCTGGCCTCTACCCTGCTTGGGCAAATGTAACAAAACTCTTTTAGCTCTGGCAGTAGGGGCACCTAGGTGTACCCCACTCCACCAGCAAGCCTCCTGCTCAAAGGCACTCAGCTTTCTTGCTCTGTGCACTGGCAAGCCTGCCTCTCTGTCTTGTGCTGGTCTCTTAATTCCTGCTGCCGCTACTACTGCCACCATCTCTCTGACAACTCAGAGCTCTCTCTCTGCTGTTGTCTCAGTGCAGGGATCTTGGATCCAAGGACACACTCCACTCTGGCTTCTCTCTCTTGATGACAGTGAGGAGGGCCTAGTAGAATGACAAAACTGACCAGTACCCACATTAGGGTTCCAGATACCTATTTCTATGGTTCCACATCCACAGGGTGCCATGTACCATATTTACATTACTGACAGGCTATCTAGTCCCTTCATAGTTCCACCCAGTCATCTGGTAGGTGCTGCAAAGACCATGCCTTTAAAAAAAAAACACCAAATTCATGCCATCGATTTAATTCAACTTGACTCATTGTGACCGCTTCTTGGTTTTCCGAGGCGGTAAATCTTTACAGAAGTAGATTGCCCAGTCTTCCTTCCAAGGAGTGGCTGGTGGGTTTGAACCACCAGCCTTCTGGTTAGCAGTCAAATGGCTTCGGCACTACACCACCAGAGCTCCTTAGAGAAGTATGAAGGCATATGTAACTGTATTCTTCTCAGATAGAGTTTTTGCGCTATACAGTTACTAATACACCAGATCAGAGTACAAGGAAGTGCTTTTTCTTCACTCAGTGGGATGTTTAACATAGCCACAGGCAGGAACCAGTTTGCGATTTGAGTGCGCACTGACTAGTAACTTGAACCCCATAAAAGCAAAGCTTTCGAAGGAGGAAGAGTTCTGTGCTGAGAAGTCAAGGGGCCAAAACGGAAAAAACCGGAACTGGGGGAAAGGGCAAAAAAGGCCAAGTTGAAAGGCAACGGGGGAAAGCATTTATTGATTGCTAAGGGATGAAAGGAGCCAATTGGCCTGATATGTGCCCTTACCTAGAGTATGGGAAGGGGGTGGTTTTGATTTCTTACTGCTCTTTCTGCAAGCCTTTAAAGCAACAGAAAGCTTCAACCTCCACATGAAGTAGCCAAGCCAGTTTGACCAGCTTGAGGGAAACACCAAACAAAGCTGCCTACTCCAATCACATGAACGCTAGTTACTAATTATCTTCTGGCCTCTGTGGGGAAAGATAGAGCGGCTCCCTGATTGGACCGTAAGGTTGAAATAACTACCCTTGTGCTGGTGCTCCAACCAGAGTAGCCAGAAGAGTGTGTCCAGTGCTTTGGGAGACATTTTCAGAAGGACAGATACAGCCTCAAGCTCAGCGGCATCTGTGCACATTTTTGCCCAACCCAGGCCCATGGAAAAGAGAAGCAAAACTCGTGTGTCTGAGCACAGTGAGTATGTGTGAAACCCAGGAGATGAGAGAAGAAAGAAGAGAGGAGAAAGGATACCGGAGCTCCAGCTGGGAGTATGAGGATTGCACGAGTCTCCAGAAGTGGACCTTTACAGGGCTGGATGGATTCCAGAGAGAAAATGACCGGGATTCCAGGCACAAAACCAAGGAGCAGAACTGGCCCTACAGAAAAAGGGATTGTGGATACTGGGATTTTGAACAGAGTGAGCCAAGCTATATGGACTCGGAGGAAATGAATGAGCATGGAGAGGACTGGATGTGCCACCGAAGTGTGACCAGAGTCTCCGATGGTTACAGGAATTCAGAAAATGTCGAGCATGGGAATCTGAGCTCCAGGACTAAGGACAGTTGGCTTCCAGGAAGGCCAGATATAACTTGGGAAGTTAGCAAAGGTAGAAAGACTAATGGCTACATGGATTACAAGAGTCTGTATTGTAATCCTGAGGACTCTAAACAAACTGAACGATGGACCGGCTACGAGGGTTTGGGTGATTCTTTGGGGAATTTTGGTCAACCTCAAAATTGGCATAGGGACCAGAGGAATTTTAATGATAACTTTGAGGATGGTAAAGAAACTAATTTTTATTACAGAGACCACAAGGATTTATACCATGTGCCTGGGAATTACCATAATAGTAATGATCAATCCGTGGCCTTCCCAGATTTGAATGGTGCCATTGAAGATAAGGAATCTAAATACTGTGACAGGGCCAGGAATGTTTATCAAAATGATAAAATCCACCTCCAGGCAAAGGCTCGGGCCACGAATCAGGGTAACTGGAATACAGAAGATAAAGCCTATGATACTTTCTTTGCAAACCGTGAGAATAAATTTCAGAATGACCGAGGGACGGATTCTCTCCATTACATGGAAAATGTGGCGTACAGTGGTGTGGACATGCCAGGAGTGACAGCTCTTGGGAGCAGAGGGCTTGCCCAGGATGGTTGGCAGCATCTGTGTCCCAGGAGAGACCGAGGATACCAGCACTTTGGGATTCTGCAGAGCCCTTTAGTAGAGAAGAATAGCTGGCGTTTGGAGGAAGAGGGGACATTAAATGGCCCAGAGACTTGGAGAAGGAACAGTTGCTTTCGCCGTACAGCTCCCGGCTCTCTGCGGCGCTCAGAGTTCGTGCAAAACAGGAAGAGAACCCAAGGTATGAACTCAGCCTTCCTAGAAGGATAAAACACAGAGACAGATTTAATTGGTGGTTACACCAGGTACCAGGAGCACTTGCACTTCTAAGGGGCCGGGCCTCTCAAGTTCTTATTAAGTATATATTGAGTAAGAACAACCTTAGTTAATGCCTGTGGGAGACCTTTTACCGAGCTGAAGTCTATGCAATGTTGTCAATTTGTAACAGCTTTTCAAATCAGATTTAATATTTTCATACGAACTTTCCTTTGCCCTTTTTGGTTTTCTTGGGTGCCTCTAATCTCAAATATCTTTTCATTCTTACTTTGTTTTGCTCCATCTTGTGGGAACAAGCAAGTTCATTATCAGGCCACCAAGTTAAAATTTATGTTCCTGCTTTGCTTCTGACTCTTAATCCCTACACTTCTTTAGATACTATTGGAAAATACTTGTTATATAAAAATTGTTCATTTCTTTGACATTCAGGAATCTTAAGTGAATGTTGGACTCTAAAACCCTAGTGGGAATCAGAAGATAGTTTCTATTCTTCATAGTGCTTTGAACATGTTGGATATTAATCACTTCTTACTGAGACTCAGCTACGTTATCTGTAAAATGGGAATGTTAAGAGTTTGTTTTTAAATCATGTACAAATTAGTTCTTTCTGGCCATTGTGTCTTCTCACCTCCAGGTCTCTGCAATGAACTTTATTTTTGTCCAGGAAAAAAGGGCTACTTGAATATTTTCTCTCAGAAATGAGAGGGATTGGATGACTTCTAAATTCCTTCCAGCTGAAAAAAGTCTGACCCTCTGATTCCTCATGCTGGTTTTTTAGATTGTTCCTGTTCCCTTCCCCCACATCTGTTCTTTAGATGAACTTTGTCTCCTGTCCCTAGTTCCTTATTGTAATTAAGCCTCCTATCTGTAATCAAAGTGTAAAGTGTGTTTATTCTGTTTGACTTAACAGGAGTCAAACCCTTTTCTCTCCAGTGTTGTAATGTGCCCTATGAGCTCTATGAAACCAGCCTAGTTCCACCTTGTATCATTTCCCTTTTTACAACTCTTATATTTATATTTGAGGACTTGTATGCTCTTATTTAGCTCAGTTGACACCCCTTCTATTTTATCTTTTTAATTAATTAATTAATTAAATTTTTTTTTGCAGTCTTCCCCTCCCACCCCTGGTAATCAACAAAGAAAATTTCCTTCCATATAGAAACCTTTCCTTGACTTTTTACCATAATGACCTAATGCAGTATTTGGCCTTCTGTGATTGACTTATTTCACTCAGCATAAGTTCATCCACATTGTGTGGTGTTTTGCAGATTCTGCATTATTCTTTAGTGTTGCATAGTATTCCATTGTTGACACCGCTTTTATATAATATCCTCCTTGATCTATAGTAAATCTCTTAGTCTTTACTAGAAGTCTTTTTGCTTTCTAACATTCTTTGCCAGTTGCTTTTGCAGCACACATACCACTGCCTTCCCTGAATGTTCCATTGTAATAACTGTAATTATAGAAAGGAAACAAGCTTTGGAGGCAGTTAGTCTTGATTTCACATCTCAGCTCTACCATTTACTAATACCAGACCAAGACTCACTGCCATCAAGTCAATTCTGACTCATCACCACCCTAGAAGGTAGAAAAGAACTACCCCACAGCTTTCCAAGGCTGTAATCTTTACAGCTCTGGTAGCATAGTGGCTAAGGCACTTGACTGCTCACCAGATGGCTGGCGGTTCAAACCTACCAGCCACTCCTCGGAAGGAAGATGGGGCAATCTACTTCCGTGGTGATACTGCCTCGGAAACCCAAGGAGGGGTCGCTATGAGTCAGGGCTGACTCGATGGCACATAACAACAACAACAACAATCTTTAGAGGCGCCGACTGCCTCATCTTTCTTCTCTAAAGCAACTGGTGGGTTTGAACTGGCCAACACTTGGTGTGTTGTTAGTGTTATTAGGTACCACTGAGACAGTTCTGACTCACAGCGACCCCACTTGACAGGGCAGACCTGGTCTGTCAGATTTCCTAGGCCTGAATCTAGGAGCAGAGGGACAGGTCTTTTCTCTCACAGAAGTGCCAAGTTGTTTTCAATCCCAGCCTTGCAGTTAGCAGCCAAACACTTAACTATTGCACCACCAGGGCTCCTAACTAATAGTGTAACTTTCGACAGATTACTTACCCTTTATGAGCTCTGAATTCCTAATTTGTAAAAATGAAGATAATACCTGTCTCATACATAATCGAGACAGTATAAATAAAACACATAATAACATGCCAGGAAGATAGTAAACCAAAACCAGACTCACTCCCATCAAGTCATTTCTAATTCATAGTGACCCCCATGTGGTTTCCAATGATTTAAATCTTTATAGAAGCAGACTGTCTCATTTTTCTTCCAGGGAATGGCTGGTGGGTTTGAACTACCCAACTTTTGGTTAGTAGCCCAATGCTTTAACCACTATACCACCAGACCTCCTTAGGAACGTAATCCAAAACCCAATTCACTGCCGTGGAGTTGGATCCGACTCATAGCAACCCCTCCTTGGGTTTCTGAGGCAGGATCACTACTGAAGTAGATTGCCCAGCCTTCCTTCTGGGGAGTGGCTGGTGGGTCTGAACCACCAGCCTTCTGGTTAGCAGTCAAATGCCTTAGGCACTTTGCCACCAGAGCTCCTAGGAACATAATAGGTGCCCATAAATTACTTCTTTGCCATCAACAGACCCACCTCCCTTAACATGTTGCCCTACCAGACTGTCACTCCATGGTCCTCAGCTCCCAAGTACCGGATACTTACTCTTTCCCATTGCACATCTCCCCTTGGACCCTGTTACACCTCAGGTTTAATTGTCTAAGTGGTGCTTCCAATCCCTTCTTCCTTTCCCCTTCCCTCCTCACCCCATCCTTACTCCATCTGAGCAACAAAGCCTTAGTTAAAGGTTCTGGTTCCATCCTCCCCTGCCTTCCAGGCTAAAAACTAAGTCTTTCTGTAGGATTTCCCCCTTTCCCTCAAATGCTTCATCAGTTGATAGGCTCTGTGAGGCCAGATCTGTTAAGATTTTGCCTTACTGGGAGGTGGTCCTTTTTCCTAAAGCATGGCCCTTTGGAGCGTTCATTGGAAACCAGAAATGTTTCCTGAATCTCGTAACTTGGTGAGACAAGATTTCAAGCTCAGTCTTCCCAGCACCAGACAATTGCTGAGAGAGTATCTATTGGCCATAAATGAACATAGAAGAGCAAAAGAGGATTGTGTTACTAAAGTCAGAGGAGGGCTTCAGACAGGGTGGGGCTATCCTACACAGAGCAGAGATGTCAGAGGAAAGACCTTTGTTGTTGAGTAGCTGGAAGCCTCTAGATGGGGTGGGGAGTAGGGACGACAAAGGCACAAAGCCATATTACAGGGAGCTTAAGAGGGAATGGATGATAAGGATACAAAAGCAATTCCTTAAATATTTGGACAGTTAATTGTAGAGGAGAAGCAGAATCCAGTGAAATCTTCCATTTTGTTTTTCTCCCAAGATAAGAAAACCCTGCTAGATCTGAAGGCACTTTCATCAGTGTTCACAGACAGTTCAAAGCAAGTTTCTCTTTACTGCCAGTGTGTGGATGGGGTATCTCTGTAGCTGCTGTCCGTATTCAAGATGTCAGAATAAAATATCTGCCTGGTTAATGTCATATGTTGATTACAAGCCATAGCTGTAGCAGGTGCCAAGGGGTTTCTGCCATTCTTGACACAGGTCATAGGAACTAATTCATACTCACTAACTCACTGCCTGCCATCGAGTCAGACCTGACTCATAGCGACCCCGCCTTGGATTTCCAAGGCGATACCACTACAGAAGTAGATTGCTCCATCTTCCTTCCGAGGAGTGACTGGTGGGCTTGAACCGCCAGCCTTCTGGTTAGCAGTCAAATAAATGCCTTAGGCATATGCCACCAGAACTCCCGGGAACTAATTGGGTAGTGGCAAAATGGCCAGCCAAACGGAGTCTGGAGGAGAAGGGGAAACCTGTGAGAGCCGGAACTCAGTGGGACTGCCCTGTTTTTCCGGTCTTGAAAGTTTTCCGCCTTTGACAGGGTGCAGTCTTACCACTTTTCTAGTGGGAAATATTTGAGTTTTCCTTCTGAGAGGTTTCTGCCTTAAACAGTTTCCAGCTTCCGCAGGTTTTGCAGTAGTGCTAGTACAGTGTTACTGTAGTTAGCCTTTAAGTCAGCCCCTGACGCGTGATGACTCTGCTGCCTGGTCCTATGCCAGCCTCTGATTGTTTGCAGAGCAGACCATTGTGTTCTATTGGGTGTTCAGTGGTTGATATTTGGAAGTAGACTGCCAGGCCTTCCTTCCTAGTCTGTCTTAGTCTGGAAGTTCTGCTGAAACCTGTTCAGCATCACACTACACCCAGACCTCCACTGACAAGGGGATGGTGCCAGACATGAGGTGCATTGGCCAGGAATTGAACCTGGGTTTTCCATACAGAAGGTGAGAATTCTGCCGCTGAGCCCCCAGGGCTCTCGGAAGTGACAGTGATGCAGGTAGTTCCCACCTTATGACAGGATTCCATTCTGATGATTCCGTCATAAGTCGGTTCTGACAGAAATTGAATACCTCTTTTTTGGTGTGTTTTTTTTTTTTTTTTTCCAGTTTTCATTATTATTGCCTTTTATCAATATCTAATTGGATCTTTGTTTGGCAATTGTACTGTTGTAACAATGAAGTTGGAGTTGCAGCACCTTCAGGCACATGCACAGTTCAGTTCTCATAAGTTGTTAG